CTAAAAGACATTCCCTTTGAAGTCAGAAAACGGAGGAAACTATACCTGATGTTTACTCTCACACTGCAAAAAAAGGGAGTACCATATAGATGGTTATTCCCGGAAGGACTGAGCTTCAGTTATCTGGATAGAAAATACAAAATTGACTCTGTTCCAAAAGCTGAAAAATTTATTGACCAAATGTTTAACTCAAAATATAAAAAGAAAGAAAAGAGCTCAAAACCAGATCAGGAGGAGGAAGAAGAAGAATCGTACTCACAGGATTCAAAAAGCACTGAACCAACCTGTATACCAAACTTGGAACATTAGGTTAACAAGCCTTACTTTTAGCTAATTAGATTGTGACATATATTAGCTTTCCTTTCCCCAAATCCAATAGATGAAATAGTTTAGACTAGAAGCTTCCTTTCCCCATCAAGTAGTTTTTTATTTATTAGTTTGCCCTCTTCCCATTTCCCATAGCTATAGTGATAGGGTTTTAGTTTCCCTCTCCCTTCCAACTTTTAGTTGTAGTTTTTGTAGTTTTTGTAGTTTATAGAAAATGCAAATAAAAAATCCCCTTCGGGGGGCATAAAAAAATGAAGTTGATGGGCAGTAGATTTAGGGCGCACAAAAGGAAATACTTCTTTACACAGAGAATAAAGATAGATTCATGGAGGATAGGTTAATCAATGTCTACTAATCTTCTGAATGAAGGGAATGTCCACGTTCAGTGGCACTAAACCTCTGAATCCCAGAGCCAGGAGGCAACATTGGAGAGGGTCTCAGATTCTATGCCCTGTTCCTGGCCCTCCAGAAGAGCTGATTGGCCACTGTGTGCAACAGGATTTTGGACTAGATGGGCCACTATTGAAATAACCAAACAAACAGGAGGAGATTTAACAAAGGGAGTATTCAATTTAACTTTTCTGGAATCAGGTTATTTCCTGTAATAAATATAGAATAAAAAAAGGAGTTAAATGAATCTCCATTCAACACTGCGGTGGAAAGTATGGTCAAGTCACAGGATGCTTATGGCAACCCTTTAGGGTTTTCAAGGCAGAAGCAGAACAGAGGGATAATGGGAGCGGTGGGGCCAGGCGTGAAAAAGCCTGCAGCTTAATCTAGCCGAACTGCCAATGGCAGTTCGAGTTCCACCGCAGCCAGGGTGAGCTCCCGGCCCTTTGTCTCAGCTCCTGCCCACCCAGCGGTCCAAAAGCCTGTATGGGCAAGTAGGTAAATGGGTACCTGCTCCTTACGAGCGGGGGGCACCTTTCCTCCGTGATCGGTGTTAAAAGCAGCAGCAATGGTGTTGAATCGATGACGATAAGGCGAAGATGGTGGCGAGCCCGAGTACGGAGACCAGTGCCTGGAGAGCATGACGTGCAACGAAGACTGGAGCCGATTGGACAAAGAGTCGAGCTGCCTCGTTCGTGTTCTGTGGGGGCCATCTGCTGGAAAAAAGCCGCTACTGCAGAGAATCCGTACTTCAACACTGGACATCTGCACCCTTGCGGGAAGAGCTACCATCGAATCCACTGCCGAATCCAAGAAAGATCCTGCTGTTAGGTGCCTAGTTAGGAAAATACACTCCCCTTACCATTGTACTCCTAGCTTAGATAAAAATTGTCTGTAAACCGCTCTGAGCCTTATGGATAGGGCGGTATATAAATCGCAAATGTAATGTAATGTAAAAGAGGTACCTCTGCATAGCAGACCTGGATTTCCATGGTGGTCTCCCATCCAAGTATTAACCAGGGCTAACCCTGCTCAACTTTTGAGATCTGATGACATCAGGCTAGTCTGGGCCATCAGTCACTACTGTTTCACTGAAACCCTAAAATATTTTGGATTTCTTCCAACTTTTTAGAATGCTCTGCAATACAGGACATATCTCTACTTATATATAATTCTGTTTTGGTCATGAACTCCTGAACATTCCACACTCTCCCAAATCAGTTCGCTCCCTGATCTGTCACTCAGAAGCTGTCCCTATCCACTGGCTGCATTGCCTGAGTCTCGCCTCCAATATTCTAAACAGTTTGCTGTTCCTCTCCCCCCAATAGCCAGTCAGAACACAGAGGTCATTTGCATATGCGGCCTGATTGGCCTTTGCCTCTAACATTCTAAACCATTTGTTTTGGGAGTCATTGAATGTGTCCTGAAGTAAAATACATATACCAATTTTCCCTTAAACAGTCATAGGAGTTGTCGAAATACATATCCCAATCGTTCCTTAAATGGTCACTGGAGTTGCCAATCTCCCTGTGGGGCCTGGAGATCTCCTAGAAATCACTGTATTCTCCAGCCACAGCACATTATTTCTGCTTCAGAAAATTTTCCAGCTATTACAATGGCTTCTTTTGGCAGTGGACTCTATGGCATTATACCCTGCTGAAGTCCCTCCACACCCCAAACCCTGCCCTCCCCAAGCTCTACCTCTCAGATCTACAGGTTTGGCCCTTCCCTTAGTATTGCCAGCCTCCAGGCAGCACCTGGAGATCTCCAAGATCAGTTCTCCTGGAGAGAATGGCTGCTTTGGGCAATGGACTTTATGAAATTATACCCTGCTGAGGTCACTCCGCACCCCAAACCCTGCCCTCCCCAGGCTCTACCCCTCAAATCTACAGGTATTTTCCAACCCAGAGTTGGCAACCCTGTAACTGGCTATGGAACCGCTTTCCAAACCCTTGGAACCCAGAAGACATGGCATAGGAGGAGGTGCTTTTCTGCCTTAGCTGCTACTGCATAACCCCAAATCAACATAAGTCAGGGGTGGAGGGAACCATACCTGTTACCATGAGGTTGTCCTCCCATACTACCCATTTGGGGCAGCAAAATGACTGGAGACAGCCCTACCTTATAGCTAAGCAGAAGGAAATAAACATGGCTTGCCTCCCTCTATTTTCTCCTTCCCTCTGCTGCCCCACCAGCCACGGTCGGGACACTCACCTGGAGCTTCCTTCTAGAGCTTGTTATATTTCTTCCCACAACGGGCCTTACTCCTAGTTCTTTAATAAAGAAAAGCATCTAGAAGCCTTAACTAGTGCTTTCCAGGTCCTAGTTTCACTTCTTTCACTTCTCTGATGTCTTTATGCACAATATCCATGCTTTTCACGTTACAAAAAAGCGTTCTGTGGCTCTAAGGCATATGCATCCTGTGCTTCCAATAAAGTTTGAGTGCAGTGGCACCTTTGAGATTTTGAGTTTAATTCTGGGTATAAGCTTTTGTATGCATGCAGAATTAAACTTTGTTGGTCTTAAAGGGACTCAAACTTTGTTCTATTGGTTCAGACCAACATGGCTACCCACCTCAATCTATTCCCAGCAGACAGACAATTTCTAGCTTCCCACAGAGAACTGCTGAAGATTGTCTACAGTTACTCTGGTGCCCTGGTGCATTCTGAGACAAAAGAGTTAGTCTAATAGGATTCTGTTTCTTTGGTTTAGATATGAAATCCGCGATGACCATACCTTGAAAATCCGAAAAGTTACAGCAGGAGACATGGGATCGTATACATGTGTTGCAGAAAATATGGTTGGAAAAGCAGAAGCATCAGCAACCCTAACAGTTCAAGGTAAGAATTAATTTGAAATACTATTGATAGTCTGAAAAGAAAATAAATAGGTTTTTAAGAAGTAATTTTATTGGATTCATAAATAATATTTACTGCAGGAACTTGTATTACCAAAAGGAAGAAAAGAAAAGAAAGGTCACTCTGATCTGATTGTTGTATTTCAACTGAACTGTTGAAGCATTTCGAAATATTATTTTCTTTCAATGGGTGGAAAGAGTTATGATCTGTCATGGAAATTGAAAATGAAAGTGTTTAGTACACCAGTTCTTGAATAGTTAACAAAATGATAATAAACTTTGTCAGAATCACATTGAGGGGCTGAACCAAAATAGATTTTTAAACAATCTTTGTGACATTTGTACACTTTTATTTGAATTTATATGTGTTTCTTAGTGGTGTTTCAGATTGTGAAACAGTGCATTCCTTACATCTTATGAAATTATAAGCATTTGTAGATTCATTTCTGTTTTTGTTTTTCAAGAAATTTGCCATATTTAGGATATTACATAAAATCACTTGAGTTACGCATAATCATTTCTTATTAATACATGAAAAAAGATCACAGGACTACTGTTTTTTCTTTCACTGTAAAAAGTCTAGCAGGATTCAGTGAATGAGTATGTGTGAAAATCTGTCATTGGATTTATATATACATTCCAGATGTTCACTCTTCAGATAATTCCTTGTTTCCTTTACTGGCTAGAAGGCAGACAGTGATGTCATACCATTTGTCTCCTAATGGCCATGATCTTCCATCTCATTCCCTATTCTTGTACATGTGGACTTCACAGAAATAGATAAAACTTATTTTGATAACCTTCTCTCAGCATTGTTCCTATTTGTGACTGCTAAAGTCAATGTGTTTTGTACTGAACTTACTGTTTACTAGACTGGTTAAAGCACAATAAAAAAGGTTATAGCTATATAAAATAAAGTGTATAAGTCATTTCACAGGATTTGTAAGAGCCTTCTCTATTTTTGCTGCTTATGGTCCAAAGTAAAGGCAATGCTGTGTATGGTTAATAAATAAGATGATTAGATGGGCTGTTGGTTCTTCTTATGATGGTTGATGCTGTTATTTTTAAAAAATACTCCATTAGTGAGTGAACAAGACTCTGAAGAGGTGATTTAGAAATATCCAAAATAAATAAGATTGTGCTTCCTCCATTCAAATGATCCTTTAGTTCAAAGCAGTTTCTTCAAATCAACTTGAGCTAATGGAACTGTTTAGAACTGATTTTATTGCCCATTCAAAGTGAGATTCTTCTAAATTGTTGCGTTAACTGGGTTTTTGCCTTAATATCTGAAACATTACAGTGTCACCTGTGATGGGATTTAGTTTGCAATACTATCTCACACTACATAGCCAATATTTTCACTTTTGTTTAAAATAAGACTATACTCTACAAAAACTCTGCACAATTTTTAATGTGGTTTATATGATTCTGGAACCCTATCCTCAAGTTCTACCCAGGGCCTCAGAATCAGTAAGACTGCTCCTAGTCTTGCTGCCACATTTTTCATTTACTGAAGCTTCTTACTAGTATGTGAAGACATAGTTGATTACAGTCATCCAATCTGGATGGGATCAGTGCTTCAGCTGTAACCAGGTGAAACTTATCAAGGAAAGTCCGCTGAGGCATCAATTAAAGTTGGATAAAAGCACCATCAAAAGTTAGGAGCTGCGGTGGCTCAAGTGGTTAAGACGCTGAACTGCAGGCTTTGGAAGGTCGGTAGTTCAGCAGTTCGAGACCCGAGTGTGCCGCATGATGGAGTGAGCTCCCGTCTCTAGTCCCAGCTCTTGCCAACCTAGCAGTTCGAAAGCAAGAAATTGCAAGTAGATAAATAGGTACCACTTCAGTGGGAAGGTAACAGCATTCCATGCGCCTTGGTGTTTAGTCATGCCGGCCACATGACCATGGAAACGTCTTCGGACAGCGCTGGCTCTTCGGCTTTGAAACAGAGATGAGCACCGCAATCCTAGAGTCGGATTCGACTGGCTTTCGAGCAAGGGAACCTTTACCTTTAAAAGCACCATAGTTGCCCATAGATGAACACTTCATTTTGCACATTTGGACATAATACTATTTCAGGCTACAGTCTTCAAAGAGAGTGCATTCTTGTACAGAACAGAATGACCAGTTCCTGATTCTCATTATCATCTAGCAGTAGGCACTTTTATATGGACTGAGTATTAGTTTATTGGTCCTCAGACAGGTCATAATTCAAAAAATGATTCAGAATGCCCACTATCTCACCTGACTCAGTTAAAAAAGAGAAATAGAGATGGGTATCATCAGCAAAGTTGGGTGGCATCCCTAGTAGTTCCACACAGAGGCTAAATAGCATGGATAAGATGCTAAATAGCGTGGGGGGGGGGAGAGCAAATCCTACAAGATCTTGAGACACAGAGGTCCAAAAAGGGCTCCCTGCACATAAAGCAGTCTTTCATCATAGTGGAAAGATGTCATACTTATGATGCCCATAGTTTGCCTTCAATTTTAAACTGAGTTTTGACTTCATATAAATACAACCTCCAAATCAGAAGGATTTTCCCCTGACTGGGCTCAAAGCATCCCAGCAGAGATTGTGTCCCAAAACACCAAGTGGAGTAAATGAGGTCTTACAGGAAATCCAGGACACACAGAAATATTTCCATGATCATGCGACGAAACCACTGAAAGAAGGAGATGAGGTGTGGGTAGAGGGAAATAGGCAGTGGTGTCCTGCTGTAGTAGTAGAGCAATGTCAGCAACCACATACGTATAGGGTACAGACTTCTGATGGTAACGTCTGTTGGCGGCGCAATAGAGTTCATCTTAGATCCTATCAGAAAGGAGTGGGAAGAGAACAGAGGAGGCACGAGAAAAAGGAAAATGAGTTTAACAGGAAGCAAGGACAATATGATAAGGTGTTAAGAAAACCGAACGGTCAAGTGACAGAAATGGAAAACCAGGAACTGAATAGTTCCCCAACAACACTAAGGATTCCTAGATGTACAACATTTTATGGTAGGCGTGTATTCTTTCAAGAAAGATACAACCCATAATGCTTATGCTTGTATGTATCTTGTACTGGATATCTGAACTTTTATTGTTTATTATAAATGTTACGTGTTTTAATTTTTTAATTCCTTATTGGTCATCTAAATATTTTTTGTATTCTTGGGGGGAGAGATGCGATGTGTGTGTGTGTATCTTTAAGTGGTTGGCTTTCCATTCTATGTGAAGTATTTAACTTGTTAGAATGCTGAGGGTCAGCCGACTTTCAGGTGTGTGATGTTGTTCTTTGCTCTCCGCTCTTGGTGTCTCCTTCTACGGAATAAAGCTGTCTCATAGACAACGACTGAGTGTTGTTGGTCATCAGAAGAGGCATATCACCGCAGAACATTACACTCTGAATCCAATTAATTGCCACCACAATTGTATGGAGGATCACACTGCCTATCTGTCTCTCCCTTCAACATTCATAAAGGCACTTCAGGCACATTGCTAACCTTATTTTTATTTTAAGGTCAATTTAGCTTGAAAGTTCAAAGCAGCTCTAATGTCTGACTCTTATGCTTCTCTTTCAGTAAGAGTAGTTCTCTTTCCTATTTGTCAGGAGCTGTTACCGAGTTTCTCTCAGTTTGAATTTTAAAAGGTATCATTATAGCTGACCCAGTTCCATTCCTGAGGAAATTTAGTCGGTATCAAAGAAGAAAATGATTGTGCATCTCATTGTAAAAAGAAGTGAACGTGGATTTCTGTCCTTAAGCAGTTTCCCAAGCAATCACATTTTATCTCTAGAAAACTAAGCCATTAAGAAAATCTAAAACCACTCTTGTTTGTTTCTGTACTGATAAGAAATAAAAGGTATCTAAATCTATTATCTTCTCATACAGTTAGGTTATGTGCTGAATTTTTTGTGACTGCTCAGTATGCTTAGAAAGTACTTATTCAAGGAATGGACTCTCACTGAGCACTACAAATGGATTCTTCTTACTTTATAGAAAAGTAAAGGAACAATCCAAAAATGTTCTTATATTCTGTGCCTGATTGCCTCTTAGAATTTCCTAGACCTCTACAATATTAGCGTTCAGGAGTGGAATTTGTTGTCTTTATTTCTAAGTATGACTGAATACCAATTTACCCATTGCAGCATCCATGTAGAGATCTCCCAAAAACTCCTTGGCACAACAGCTTCGCCTTATAATAAGGCGTGCTTGAACACCCACTGGTTCCATTCACCTGTTGTTTTCAGATCATAGATGGGAACTGACTATTCAATGAGCTGTTCAGATGCATGAAATTGGCTTTTTTATTTTTGCCACCTGTCTGCCGCTGCCACCAACTCCACTTTCACCAATGTACAGCAAGACAATCTGGAGATTGCCTCACATGTACTTGAGGGAGTTTATTTGCCTAGTGAGCACTTCACTATGAAGTTCTCTACCAGCTGACTGAAGGGGTCGGGTCCCTCACAGCCCATAGAAAGTGTAAGCAGGAAGCTTCTAGAACCAGGTAGTGGACAGCAAATGAATTTTGTAATAAAAGCATGTCTTGTTCCTGGTGGGAGTTCTGCAGCTCACAAATGTTCTTGGATCAGTCAGATAGCATGCTTTAGGGAAGTTCTGTTTCCATTATAGGTAGGGTTGCCAGCTCTGAATGGGGAAAGAACTGCAAATTTCGGGGGTGGGGTTGTGAGGGGTGACCTCAGCAGGGTTACAATGCCATAGGGTCCACCCTCCAATGCAGCCATTTTATCCAGGGGAACTGATCTCTGTCATCTGGAGATCAATTGTAATAGCAGGTGATATCCAGGCCCCACCTGAAGCAGAGACAGAAAATATTTTTTATTTTTCTGTTTATGGGGCCGAGGAAGCAGAGACTGGGGTTCAGATATGTGTCCTGAGTGGACAGTGCTAGTTTTGAACAAATTAACTGTAAAAGATGACTTAAGGTGACAAATGGAATGGAGATACATAATTCCAGCAATGAAAATATTAATAGTGACAGAGT